AAGCATGGACAACCAGAGATGACTAAAATATCTAAGGCAAACTATGCACAAAGCAACAACCAAGTAACACAATCTGCATGCCCAAACAAGACCATAACAGCAAGTATGTAGCTTCCCAGCAGTGCCATGGGTGTGTAAACTCTTCTTCACTTGAATCTGAATCATTAACACATCGGGCCCTGAGCAAGGAAGAAAATTATCAATCAGAATAATCAGCCCCAAATGATATATTCCTACTTCCCATTTTTCTGTAACTCAGAACTTTAATGCTTAATAAGATGATTAACAAGTCTTCAGCTGTATCTACAGTAATTCTACTGCATTTGTAAAGAAAAGTTGGAAGTATCTTTCTAAGTGAATAAGTACTATAAACAATATTTCTGCCACACCTTTCTACAGAAAGCCTTTTCTAACCAAATAAGTATTACACCATGAACTTACTTGAAGGTGTGGCATCTCAAGTTGCAGCGGATTCATCAAGTGAAAGGCATTTGGAAAATATTAACCCTTTGACTATTGTTCCTTTCTCATTTAACTTTGTAACCAACATTAATTAGTTCAAATTTATTCCACAGCTGGCCTTGTTTTTGGCAAAAGCCACACAGTTGCTTGTAATCATAGCAATAGGCTGAACTTTTAATTTCAAATAACATCTGCACAGATTACAGTTTAATATATTTTTCCCCGCACACCTTTTCATGCTCTAGGCCTGTTGCAATAAACAATAAATCGATTAATCACATGATAAATGAAAATTATCTACCTCATTTTCATTTATTGGCTTTATTATTTCTTTGTGTCTCTCTCTTTCTACTGAAGACACAGGATGACAAAAAGCTCAACTCTGGTGCTCTTCACTGACCCCTCTCTTTCTTTTTTCTCTTTAAAATCCATTTTAACCGTCCAAAGTTGCATTTTTGAATTGTTACAAGCAGCTAAGCTGAGAAGCTAAGCTACGAGCTAAGCTAACAGGTCGACCTTGGGAAAAAATACCTCTGTCTTGTCGAAGCTCCAAATTCACGGTTGAAACCCGTGCCTTCATCTAAAAAGTTGTTTTTCTCTGCAAAAAGAAGCTGAGAACTTGTTTCTGAAAAGCTTTGTGTGAAAAATTCTATGCTAAAGAGCTCAAACCACACAGAGCGTCCGCCATTTTCAGAACCGAAGAGAGAGACAGCCCATGTCATGTCAAGGGGCCTCCCTGCCATTTCTCGCTCCCTTACTATCCATCCTTTGGTTCAAACTGTCTTATACTGCCATCGCAATAATTTCCGAGACAATTAATCGCCCAGCAAAATTTGTTATCGTGACAGGTCTACTTTACAGCAAAAATGTGTATCGATCTGTTCCTTGAACCAAATACCTCGACACTGAGCATGAATTTGGCAAAACAAGGCAAAACAAAATTTAACTACCAAGGTCAGAATAAAGCAGGTTGAACACAACAAGACAGAAATGATGGAAAAGTGGTCTTCATCAGGTCTAATTTGTCCTTACCTAGTGTTTTATTTTACCGTCTTCAAATACAGACATCTATACAAGGTGACATGACACTACATATACACTTTGTTCCACTCCTTGTAAAACTGCATCACATCATTTGCTATAATTTCATTTTAGAAATATAAAAATATTATCTCAAATCACTGCTTGCCTAGATCTCCAAAAGCTTCTGTAGGCCTCAAGAAACTGGGACATCATGTGACTCGCAGAAAAACTACATATGTTTCTAATTATGGCAGAAACACTATGGAAAAAAAACCAAAACACTGCACACTGCTTTGCTGGAGGGAAGCCTATGATTAAACGATCACAAGTTGGAAGAAATGACCATTGACAAATAAACTGTTCAAACTATTGGTTTTAACATGAGCTAACAAAAGTGGGCAATTTAATGGGGTAAATGCCAATGAGGTGTAAACATCCCCCAAAAAGACAGATATTCAGGTCTCTCTTATAAATGAGTCCTCAAGGCTCAATGGGATTAACCTGTCTAAATAAAGGTTGAATGAATGAATATGCAGACAGATATACAGACAGATAGATACATTGATAGACAAAGAAGGAAGGCAACAGCCTATTTTTAGATTATGTTGAGCAAATGCTCATTTGGCTAAATACGCCTTCCTATCACTCAAAAGATTTTAAAAATCCCACAATCTCACATTAAAAATTGTTCAGATAACTGCAAAAACATCCTAAAGAGGGTAACTAACATCAGCTCATCCTGAATTCTAATACCAGACTAACATACATGCATGCAGACTTTTCAGGCTGCACATTGAACTTATTTCTGCAATTTAAGATTTGCTGGCTTATAAAGCAGAGGTTAGTTAATAACCTTAACCAACTCTTGAAAAACACATTTTATTTATTAACCTTTATTTAACCAGGCAAATCCCATTGAGATCACAGATCTCTTTTGCAAGGGAGGCCATATGACACATTTAAGTGATTTTTTTAGGCTGAAACTGGTAAGAGATCTTACTAAGGTACTGTTTGGTCAATGCAGTGGTTGTCAAGGAACATGATTCAATTTTCCAGATCTGAATCATAGCTTATAGCTGTGCCTACACACAGCTCACCATTTCCACCAAACTGCTCCACGCTTGTGAAATGCCTCCTTTTACTTACTTGCTAGGAGACTGACATGATGTGTGTTGGCACCAGGGCTGGATGGACAACAAGGCTCAATACAGTGACAACAATAACCCTTTTTAACATTTCACCCTCTTGACACAGACTGCTGTCACACAAGGTTTGTTCTTGTGTAGAGTTGCTTTCTCACCAGTTTTTTTTTGGTGGTGGGGGGAACAGACAGCCCACTGTTTATTTCGATCATTGTCTCTGTTGGCTGATTTATCAATGACAGTGCAGTCCAAAATGCTTGTTGAAAGTTACACGTATCTTGGCTTTCTAATGACACAGATCTTTTACTTGTATTTTTCTGAAAGAATAAATAGCTGTCTGAGAGGATATCCTTTTGTTTTTCTTTTTCCTTAAAAGAGGAAGTTCACATGTTTATCATGTGAACAGCTAGTTTTGTCTGTCATCATCAAACTGGTTGATCCACTATGAGAAAGGGTTATTTATAAGACTGAGTTTAGTGCAGCTCCTCAGGCTGACAAAGTCTTTTGGATAAAAGACGAAACATTTCAATTTTTTATTTTTTTTTATCCATCTGGAGGACCTGATTTAACATTGTTAAGAGTTTTCTACCTGGATTATTGAACATGCATCAAGATACGAAGTGCTGAGTTTTTTATGTCTGTAGAAAACTGTAGTAACAAATTGCCTTTCTTAAAAAGGAAAACAGTGATGAATAAATTCAAAAGCAAATGTGATTTTTGCCAATATAAAAGTACCTTTATTACACTAGGTTAAAACTGAAACCACTTTAGGCCTGGCTCACACTTTGCGATTATTGTTGTAAATGGCCAGTACATGTTACATTGTCCGTTTAAAAAATGACAGATTGTATGACTTACCGCAGCAAAATCACACCACAAAAATACGTCAGCACAAAAGATGGACAGAGATATTAGCCCAATAATAAATGGAAACCAAAAGCTGTTTTGATGGCTTTGTCCTTCATAAAGCAAATCATGGTAGATGTTGGTGGAAATACCATAGACGCTCATGTTATTGGCAAAAACGCGACAAACTTATTCAAAAACTAATTCTTGTATCTTTTGGTAATACAGCTTGCCCTGAGGGTTTTCTGTTCTAATAATAAATTCAGACAGCTGACACAGATTCACCGCCCGTTTAAAAGCACCCAGGATCGATCTGACCACTTTTAAATGTCTACAGCAACTAAATGCAAATAACTTTAGCGAGTTTCTAAGGCTTGTTTCGTCTAGAACAACTCGACAAAAGACAAAGAAAAAAAAAGCGTTTTGCATATTCAAAATGTACAGTTGGTAAAACCAAATTACTCTAAACAAGGCATTGGTGCAAACAGAAGGTATATATAATATTTGTGTTTAATCTACAGGTGGGATACTCTTGTTTTTTTAAGCATAAAGCTCAAACGATGCATGCTATAAGAATTAAACTGTACCACTTTAAATCCAGGCATACATTGATCTAAAAACAAATGCATTAGATTTTTTTAAGCCTAAACAAGCTGTGCACAACACTTTATGTTAAATATAGTTAGAAGGTATAAATAGTAAAGTGAAATTATGAATACAATGATTTAATCAGCAAAAACACGCCTGTCGTTTAAATTGATTACACTTTCAGTTTATGTAATCTGAGGAAACAGTTACTTTTATGCTAGGTGTTTCTCACATGACATAAACGCACACCTGTAAGATTAAACTGTTTTTGTTAAACCACGGTTTAAGAGTATTTCTTTCACATTTACACCTCGGAAGTCCCTGTAGTGCTTGGCTTAAGAGCTTAAAGTGTGGCTGCCTAAAAATAAAAGCTCAATCAGGCGTCTTGAAGACTACAACCAGCTAGCTTGTTAGCTAAAAATACAGTGTAGCCTCCGGAGCACCGTTTGGGATGTTTAGCTATTTATTTGTGTTGCAACCGTGCAGTTAAAACGTCTATTTACACCTAAAGGCAAATCAGAGGTTTGCTCGGGTTAAGGTTCGGGTTGTGGCCTCTGAGTCACGTTGAATTTGGATTAAGGATAACGAGAAGTGTTTTTTTTTTCTTTCGACAGCTGTTAAAATATTCCAGCACAAGGCCAGTGAGTGAGGGGTATCTGTAAGCTAACGGTACATTAGACTGTGACGCCTCTGTGTGTGGTTATGGCGCACACGACAAAAAGGTTTTAAACACGACACGAAACCGCTGCGACTATTTCACGAGTTTTTACAACAACGTAGTTACCTCAGTAACTAACGGCAGCTACCTTCTTGGCAAGACTTCTTCAAGGATCCATCATACTTCACGTAGACAGTGCTAAGAGAGGGACCAGCCGATAGCTAGGTGCCTTTCAGGACAACAAAATGGAAATAAATATATCTGTTAAATCATAAACTTACCGTGGAAATGTTGAAGGAGTCGTGAAATTGAACAGGTTATCACCGTAACCTGGTCGGACTCTCCTCAGTAATCCTGCTGTTCGTGGAGAGGCGGTTTATGACTGAAGAAGCCGTCACCAGTGCTGCCTTCACTGACAGCAGAAATGTTGGGGAAATTTCAGCGACGCGGGAATGCCCCTAAGACTAAAACGAACCTGAAGCGTTGGTTGATCGGAAGCCAACGATACAAATGAATTGTCATCAACATATAACACAATGCAAAATATTTATTGGGTTAAATGCGAATTTATACGTTTTTAATTGTGAAGTTAAAGTGCAAGGCGAGTATATGTTTTTCAATTGTGAAGTTCGAGTGAACGGAGAGTATTTGAATGCCGCATAAATGACATAGTAGAATGCTGGGAGGAATCCACTGCTGGCCCAAATCATCTGAGGCCACCTAATGGTGGAGGTGATTTAAGCATATAGTTGAAATCTGAGTGAGCGCGATTAAACAAACAACTTAACAAATAAACCTTACAGCAGCAAATATAACGTCATAAAAATGGGCACAGGATTGGGAGAACAACATATGTCTATACTGTTTTTTTTGGCTTTAAAAAGTATATAAATATTACCTGGATGGCCCTTAATGTTCTGCTTTTAAACTCAGACAAGACAGAAGTTGTGTTTTTTGGATCTGAGCATTTTAGTAATAAACTTAGTTAACTTGGCCTCCAGTTCTAAAGTTAAAAACCTTGGTGTTACTTTTGATCAGGATATGTCTTTTAACCCACACATTACACTGCTTTCTGTTACCTGCGTAATATTGCTAACATGAGAAACATCTTGTCTAAAAATACCATACCATACCATTTTATTTATAGAGCACTTAAAACAGCGACAAGGCTGTACAGACATAACAACAGGTAACACAAAAAACAAAATACAAAATGAAGTAAATCAGAATATAGAAATAAAAACGATGCAGATAATGACGACTAACCAGTGTGGAGCATACAGGTTCAAACACAGATCATCTGGTGTTGAAAGCTACCAAATACAGTAGTAGTGGGTTTTTAAACGGAACTGAAAACCGAGGGAGGGGACCTGTCTGACAAGCAGAGGTAACTCGTTCCAAAGTCTTGGTCCTGCTACAGAGAAGGCCCTGTCACCTCTGCGCTTAAGACGAGTTCCTGGAACTGTGAGGAGTAACTGGTCCGTTGACATCAGGGAACGTGGTGGGACATACGGTGAGATGAGAGAGATGGGGGGGGGGGCTGTTCAGTGATTTGTAGACATACAATTTAGACATACGTATTTTGAACTGGATTCGAAAGTGAGCAGGTAACCAGTGCAGTGAGGCCAAAACTGGTGTAATGTGCTCTCTTTTGCCTGTACTGGTTAAAAATCGGGCTGCTGCATTCTGGACCAGTTGTAGTCGTGCAATGGATGTCTGACTGATACCAAACAGGAGTGAATTGCAGTAATCAAGCCTAGATGTAATGAATGCATGTATTACTGTCTCCAGGTTCTTTTTGGACAATATGGGCTTCAGTTTAGACAGCCGCCTCAGTTGGAAGAAACATGATTTAGGCTGGACTACTGCAATTATTTATTATCTGGGTGTCCAAATACTTCTTTAAAAAGTCTTCAATTGATCCAAAATGCTGCTGCCAGAGTCTTAAGTGGAGTCAGTAGGGGAGATCATATTGCTCCAGTTTTAGCTTCTCTCCATTGACTCCCTGTCAAGTCCAGAATTGAATTCAAAATCTTACTTCTAACATACAAAGCCCTCAACAACCTAGCTCCATCTTACATTACAGATCTTATTGTTCCATATATTCCTAACAGACCACTTTGCTCTCAGACTGCAGGTTTACTTGTGGTTCCTAGAGTTTCCAAAAGCAGAATGAGAGGCAGATCTTTCAGTTATCAGGCTCCTCTCTTGTAGAACCAACTTCCAGTTTCTGTATGTGAAGCTGACACATTGTCCAGTTTTAAAACTGGTCTTTCCTTTTTGATAAATCCTATAGTTAGGATCAGCTTGGGTTTCCTGACATATCTCTTAGTTATGCTGCTATAGGCTTAGACTACTGGAGGACAAACTGACCTCATTTCATTAAATGAGTAGTTAAAAATGAATATTTTGTATTTGTAATTTTATCTATTTTAACATGTTTTTTGAAGACCTGCTCACCTCCATTCTGGACCTGTCATTCTGTGTCCATTTTTCCTTCCTGTCCTCTCAAACTCAGCAGGTCGAAGCAGATGGCTGCTTGTCCTGAGCCTGGTTCTGCTGGAGGTTTCTTATGAGGGAGTTTTTCCTTTCCACTGTCGCCTTTGTGCTTGCTCAGGATCGGAGACTGCAAGGAGTTGCTTAAAGTTACTCAGTGTTTTCACGTCAAAGGAAGGTTAGCACACAAGCATTTGCAAAGAAGCCTGGACATAGTTTGTTTAAGAAGCAACAAACTAATGAAACGGTCTTAAAAGCGCAGAGGTTTATTATTAGCTAATGTAGCGTTTAATGATATCTTGTTTTTGAACAAAAGCTGAAAGACTATTAAACAAACCAACAAAAAAAAGCATCTTGAATCTTGGTGACTCTAAAAGTAAATCATCTCCTAAGATTACTTTCTGGAAGTTTATTCAAAATTTGTCCCCTGGTTTGGGTGATATTTTGCTAACAGACAGAAAAATGGACATAAACGCTCACACATTACACCATCATCTTTCATGGGCAATTATACAGAAGCAATGTCTGAAAAAGTAAATCATCTGCAGCCGTGCACGTTACAAGAACACTTCTTATTTTTTTCCAGTTCCTTTATTTTTAAGAAGTCATCTTTCTGAACTAATATTCACACAGTCCATGTGACTGAACTTACAGTAACATTTCCCTTGAGGCTGTGTTTCACTTGTGCACTTGTGAATTTGCAACCCAGGAAGTGAACTCTTGTTCTAAGCTGGGACCGTGAATGCCTCACAGTCCAACTCAACAGTTACACCCATCTTTAGCTGTGATTCCTAGAAAGGTGACTCATAGAGCCAGCACTCCTTCTGTGCAGGTCACGTGTTTCTTTACACAGTTATCTCTTGCATCTATAGTAGCTCAGTATGATTGTGGAGGAGTTAACGTTTGCAGCTACCCCTCCCTGATTCAACCAACCAGCTGTCCTCCAAGCTGCTTTATGAAGATGTCATAAAAAAAAGAGTCTGTCCCACGTGCTTAACTTTAACTGAATTTAAGAATCCTGCTGAAATTTAGACAGACAAAAACACAGATGCTAGTAAATGGGAGCAATAGTTTGCAGCAGAAAATACATATTTTTTTAACTCGGTACTTATTGTTTTATTATTTGATTGCATTTTTGTTTTTCATATCTGTTTTGTTAGTTTGTTTTCTAAGCCTGAACTGGTTGTGATGATTTAACAAGGTTTGGCAGCTTCCTCTTTCTGATTGGTTGTTTCCGCACACGTGGAAAACGTCACTTTCGGCTCTGCGTGCGCATTAAAGCCAAAGCGATCATGACGGTCAGTTTCTGGAGGGTCCTTTTGATTCACTTCGCCGCTACAACAACATGCCTCTCCTGCTGTTCGCCGGACGACGTGAGTCACCCCACCATACCAGCGATCGCCAAACACTTCTGCACCAAAGGGAGGTACGAAGAAGTCAACCCTCACCTCATAGAGGACATCCTGGCGGTGAATAGGTCGCTTCTGCAGCCTCCGTCCGCGCACTGTCGCGTGATCCATCTCACGGCCATCGTAAGACACGGGACGAGATACCCGACGAGCAAAAATGTCAAAAAGATGCGGAAGTTGTACGATCTGGTCCGGAGCGAGGCCCGAGGCGAGGAGAGCTGGCTGTGCGAGCTCCGGAGCCGCTGGAGGATGTGGTACACCGAGGACATGGACGGGAGGCTGGCCCAGAAGGGTGTGGAGGACCTCAGACATCTGGCCGTCAGGCTGTCCAAGCTGTTCCCCTCCATGGTTTCAGAGGAGAAGCTTCGAGGTGGACTCATCAAGTTCATCAGCAGCTCGAAGCACAGGTGTGTCAACAGCACGCTGTCCTTTAAAGCAGGACTCACAGAGCTGTGGGACATCAGAGGTAAGACACGAGAAAAGTAAATAAATAAACAAACAAAAAAATACTGTCAAAAAACAAATCTGACGAAGGATGGACATTGAGTAAAGTGTAAATCCCATGTTTGCTGAAATATACAAGATCTTCCCTGAAAAAGACGTCTGAATGGGAGAATGTTGTTCTAAAACATCCATCCATCCGTCTGTCTGTCTGTCTGTCTCTCCATCCATAT